CGGGGAGCAGCGCCATGAGGTCAGAGCGAGGGCAAGACGTAGGCAGGGCACGGTGGCCAGGAAGGGCTAAAGGTCCTTATGCAGCCACCGTGCCCTGCAGCCTGCTGTCCCCTGCAGCCATCCTCCTTGCACACTGATTGCTGGGCAGTTTCCTCACCCCCCCCCAACTCACGGCAGCGGCAGAGATGAACTGCCACGCTGGGTGCTCTAAATGCGTCAGCTCACCCAAAAAGCTTTGGAAGCGCCTCCAACAGCGGTGGGACTGCTGAGGCTTTCGTGCATGCCGCTGTGCTCCAGGGGACGCCCGCACCCTGACGGAGGAGGAAGGATGAGCACTCTCGCCGTCGGGAGGTGCCTGTTTTGCTCACAGGTTGTTGTGGTTTAACCCTGGCCGGCAGCTCAGCGCCACACAGCCGCCGGCTCAGTCCTCCGCAGCGGGATGCAGGGGGGAGAATCGGAAGGGTAAAAGGGAGAAAACTCGAGGGTTCCTGTAAAGACAGCTTTAGAATTAAAAAAAAAAAACTTGTAAGGAGAAAACCCCAACAAAGAAGAAAGAGAGGAAGATACAGCCCAAGAAAAACAAGCGATGCAAAAGAAAGCAGTTGCTGAGCAGCAACCGAGCGATGCCCAGCCAGTCCCCGAGCGAGGGCAGCCCCCGCCAACCTCCGTCCCCTGCCCCGTTTTGCTGCTGAGCACGGCGTCGTATGGTGTGGGATATCCCTTTGGTGACTTGGGGTCAGCTGTCCCCGCTGTGTCCCCTCCCAGCGTCTTGTGCACCCCCAGCCTGCTCGCTGGCGGGGCAGCCTGAGGAGCACAAAAGCCCTTGGCGCTGTGCAAGCACTGCTCAGCACTAACTCAAACGTTTGCTAAACGTGATAGCCTTCTGTGGTGAAATAACTGGCTTATGAGATGAGTGGAGTGCAATGGCCATTGTCCACCTAGACTTCAGGAAGCCTCTCGGCACTGCCTCCCAGCATAGCCTCATACAGAGGCAGAAGATGGGCTGGCTGAGCAAACAGGGAGATGGATCCAAAACTGGCTGAGCGGCTGGGCCCGGAGGGCGGTGAGCAGTGGCACCAAGTCCAGCTGGAGGCCGGGAAGCAGCGGTGAAGCCCAAGGCAAGGGGCATTGCCAGCAGGGGCAAGGCTGGAGCAAAGAAGAGGTCCCCTTAGTGCAAGAGGATGCGGTCAGATCAGGTGGCAGAGGATGAGATGAGGTAACACCTAGAGCAAAGCGGAGATGCGCAAGTCCCTGATGGGCCCTGCTGGGGTGCACCCTCAAGTGCTGAGGCAGCTGGCAGCTGGCCTTGCGAGGCCACTCCAAAAGGGAGATGTGCCTGAGGACTGGAAGAAAGCACAGAGCACGTGGGCTGAGGAGCGGCGCAGCGGAAGGAAAACTGGCTGAGCGGCTGGGCCCGGAGGGCGGTGAGCAGTGGCACCAAGTCCAGCTGGAGGCCGGGAAGCAGCGGTGAAGCCCAAGGCAAGGGGCATTGCCAGCAGGCGGAGGGAGGTGGTCCTCCCCCTCCGTTGCGTCCTGCTCTGGGCTCCCCAGTGCAAGACAGGCATGGCCATACTGGAGAGAACCCCCAGCCCAGTGCCCCCCCAGTGGCCCCTCCCACTTTCCGTTGGGCTCGGAACCTTGGTCAGCTGGAGCCAACAGCCCCCAGAGCCGGCAGGACGGAGCTGTGCTGGCACGGAGCAGCGCTGGGAGGAGGCAGGGCCTGGCCGAGCAGCACCGAGCCGGCACCGGGGCCAGCACCCCGCTTCCCATCCTCGCTGTCGCCGGCTGAGCCGCGTGCTTGGTGCACGGCGAGGGTCCTCCTGTCCCGGGCGGGATGGGCCAGGCCAACTGCTGCTGTGGCTCCAGGTGGGCTCCCCCCGCGGCTCGGGGACACGCGGGCACGGCCAGGCCCCACACCGACGACGGCCTTCCTCATGCCCGCCGCTCTCTGCTCTGCAGGGAGGCTCTCAGCGAGGCCGAGGCGGTGCTGAGCGCGGACGTGCGGCTGACCCGGGGCCGCAAGAGGAGCGAGAGGCGCCTTCTCCTCCTCCAGGAGGAAGTGGTGGTCGCCAAGTTGCAGTAAGAGCCTCGGCGCCCAGCTGCCTTTCCCCCAGCCCTGGCCCTGGCACCAGGGCAGGGACGCCCTGGCCCCAGCCCCAGGCCCGCGACACCCTGGCCCCAGCCCCAGGCCCCGCGACCTTGCTGCTGGATGCACCACCGTGCGTCCCGAGGGCAGGTGGGGCACAGCGCCCTGCCCGCGGGGACCCCAAGGAGCCCAGCTCCAGCCCACTGCCTGCCTCTCCTCTCTGCAGATGTGGCACCACCCTGCGCCCACAGCTCCGCCTGGCCCTGGACCAGCTGTGGGTGCTGAGCGGCGGGAAGGAGGCAGCGGGGGAGGAAGAGGAGCAAGGCAGTGATGAGGACAGGACCTCCCTCATCTTCGTCTGGCCCACTGGCTCCTGCATTGCCACTTTTGGGTGAGTCGTGGTGCCCCGTGCCATGGCCGGGCAGGAGAGGTTCCCAGGCTCGCCCACACCGTCCTGGGAATGGCCTCTGCCCTCCGTGCAGAGCCTGGGCAGGGAGCAGGCAGCACGCCGGCAGGGAGGGAGGGGGCACTTGCACGTCCTGCCTGCCCTGGTCCCCTTTTGGTCCCCAGAAGGGAAGGGCAAAAGCAGCTGCTCTGGCAGGACAGAGGGAGGCAGGGCTTGGGCGGCGCCTCTGTCCTGCCCCACGGGGCTTCGTCCTGCCCCTGGGTCCTTCCCCCCGCGGCAGCGCTGTGCAGGGCCCGCTCTGCCCGCAGGCTGGGGGGCAGTGGGGCCTGACGCCCTCTCTCCTCTCTTTCTGCAGCTCCCGGGCCCTGAAGGAGCTGTGGCTGGGCACACTGCTGGGGTAAGCCGGGCGGATGCTCCGGGCGCAGGCGGACGGGAGAGGTGCCCCCGCGGCTGCGGGCAGCTCTTGGGCAGAGCTGCCTGACAAGAGAGAAGAGGCGGCTTGCGGCTCAGCCAGCTCTCTCCCTGTCCCTTCCCGGTGCCCAGGACACCAGAAGGAGGCAAGAGAGCCCGAGTCACCCGTCTGCCGTCGCTCACACTCCTCGAGAAGGAGCTGCGGTGCCGCCATGCCGTGAGCGTCTCTCTCTGGTGTGGGCTTGGTCCCCGAGCACTGGTCCTGCAGCTGAGCAGCAGAGGCATCGCTGCTCACCTTCTTGCCCTCCTTCTCTCTTGCCCAGTGGAGGACGTTCAGCACCAGGAGCCTGGAGAGGCTGATGAAGGGCCAGGCAGAGGTGAGAACGGCTGCCTTTTGCCCGCCTCTGGCTGTGCCGGGGTGCCGGGGACGTGCGGCGAGTGGGGTGAGCTTGTGCGGGAGGGAGGGAGGGAGGGAGGGTCCCGCGGTGCCACTTGGGGAGCGGAGAGGGTTGGGGAGCCACCAGGAACGCCGGCACGTCCTCGCTGGCAGCGCTGGGAGGAAAGCTGCCGTGCGGGGCAGAGAGCCCGGGAGGGCCGAGGGTCCAAGCTCTGCCACGCGCAGGCTGCTGGTGCCGGCTGGCAGCTCGCCGGTGGCCCTTTCTGCTGCGGGGCTGCTCTCTTAAGCGCAGCCTGGTTCTTGCAGGCTGATGCCAAGCGAGGGCCTCCGAGGGTCTCGTCTAGCACCGGCGGGGGACTTTGCCGCTCAGCAGGTGAGTTTTGGAAAGAAAGGCAACCTCCTGCAAGCGGTTGAGCTGTGCTCACTTGTCCCTTGAGTGTCACCATGCAGGTTGGGCAGCCCAAGGGAGGAGGTCACCTGCAGGAGGAAGGACACCCGCTGGGCAGCGGCCGCTGCATGTGGTTCTGCGGGGACACGGAGCCTCTGCTGCTGCTGCCCACAGCTTCGAGGAGGGCTGGGCCAGGCTCTCCCAGTGGCACACCGGCTCTCAGGAGCCTCCCAGCTGGAGCCGCTGAGCCCGAGCCGCGGTCCCAGCTGCTGGCTCCCCCCCCACCCTGCCGCACCGCTCAGCACCGCGCTGCGGGCAGGGCAGGGCAGGGCAGGCTCCGGGAGCGCTGGCCTGGCGGTCTCCATTGACGGGCTCTTGCCCTCTTTTCCTTTGCAGCAGGAGGGAGCAGCAGCAGGAGGAGGAGGGGGCTGCCCTGGCCCTTTGCTCTGTGGCGGAGCCCGGCCGCTGCCCAAGCGCCAGGGCAGTCGGGCTCCGGCTGCAGCAGGCCGCTCTTTGGGCAGCCCCTGGCAGCCCTCTGCGGAGAGGACGGCACGCTGCCCCGGCCCCTCCAGGTAAGCCAGCCTGCGCAGGGGGGCCCCAGCCCTCCAGAGGCTCCGGAGAGGCGGTGGCTGTCCCCAGGAGCTCCAAGGAGGGTGGCTTGGGCTCTTCACCCCCAGCAAGGAGCGCGGTGTGCGCCAGCGCAGCGGCCACCGCTGTTGGAAGGCAGCTCCTCAGCCGAGCAACTGTCCTCCTGCCTCTGCTGCAGGAGCTGCTGGCCGTCCTGCAGCAGGAAGGGCCGTCGACGGAGGGCATATTCCGCAGAGCTGCCAGCGGGACAGCCGTTCGGGAGCTGAAGGAGGCCCTGGACTGCGGCGCAGACGTCGACCTTGGAAGCCAGCCTGCGCTGCTGCTGGCCGTCGTCTTGAAGGTGAGCGCTTCTGACCTGCAGCTGGAGGAGCTGCTGGCTGGCCTGGAGTGCTCAAAGGCTCACGCGGAGCCCTTGGCATTGCAGGACTTCCTGCGAAGCATCCCCTCCAAGCTCCTCGCGAACAACCTCTACGAGGACTGGATGGCAGCGATGCAGAAGAGCAGCAAGGAGGAGAAGATCTCAGAGCTGAAAGCGTAAGTGGGGGGAGCAGGCTGCCCGTGGAGCGGGAGCCCTGACCGCTGGCTGAGAGCACCTGGAAAGCTGCGCAGCACAGCCGCTGGCTCCCGCCTGCCTTGGGCAAGCCTGGGGGACGGCTGTGGGCAACCTCGGCTTTCTTAACGTTGTGTTCCTGTTGCCTCAGGGTGGCCGAGAAGTTGCCCGCGCCCAACCTCCTCCTCCTGAAGCGGCTGCTGTCCCTGCTCCAGCACATCGGCCGCACCGCAGCCACCAGCAGGATGACCTGCAGCAACCTGGCCATCTGCGTTGGGCCGAACCTGCTGAGCCCGCCCAACGAGGAGCTGCTTCCACTGCCGGCCATGCTGGAGGTGACTGACAAGGTACGCCGTATGGAGCAGCCGGCGGCAGCCTTCCCGGCCCGTCAGAGCCTGGCTGCTCAGAGCTCTCTCTCTGCGTGCCTCCTCCCTTGCGCAAATGCTGCTGGGCTGGCTGCCTGGAAGAGCAGCCCCAGAGCCACAGTCTTCTGTGCAGTGCAGAAGCAAGGCTGAGGAGCGGGAGAGGCTGCTCGGTGCACTTGCAGGCAGCAGGGTTGAGGCCAAGGCTTTGATGTGTGCAGGTGAAGGTGCTGGTGGAGTTCATGGTGGAGAACTGCAGGGAGCTCTTTGGGGAGGAGACAAGGGAGCTTTCCCGCCCAGCAGCCGAGGAGTCGCCAGCCCCCACGGAGAGATGCGGACGTAAGAGGAGGGACGGAGGGCTGTCGCAGCTGGGGCTAGGGCCACCAGAAACCTCAGCGTCGTTTCTGGTGGGGCTGGGCAGCGAGTGTTGTCCTCGCCGCTCCGCTTGTCCTGTGGCCTCTCTTTGGCCGCTGCCTCTCGCGGCATGAACGCTCGGCTCTGCAAGATGAGCTGAAGCCTGCTGAAAACTGAAGCGCTAGGGCTTCGGGTGGGTTTTGCTTTAGCTGTCGTTCACCTCCACGCAGTCCCTTGGCTGCTCTTTCTTTCCAGATCTGCGTTTGGAAGAGCAAAGTGGCCCTGCACTCACAGCAGACACCGAGCACCGGGCAGAAGCCTTGCTGCACGCCCCCCCCTCTCTGCCCGGTGTCCTCGAAGGAGCTGGGGGAGATACGGTGGCGGAGTCTGAAACGAGAGAGGTATGGCCGGTCCCCAAACACTGTGGCAGCGCGTCTGGTGCAGGAGGGCACTTTCTGGTGAGGCCAAGTCGCTGCTGTGCCTCTGCCTGGC